CACATGGATATGCAGTGCCTAGTGGGTGCCTACCTACATGCCAACTTTCAGCGCAATCGGCCAAGCAGTTACCGAGATATTGCAACAATTACAAAAGTGACACCTCTTCGTTTTGCACGTGGCACGTGCATAAGGGGTCACCCACATGCATCGGGAATAGTCCAATACTTGGTAGAAGGAATGAAGCTACCCCACAAAAATTACCGGATGTAAATCGGTCAAGTGGTTGCTGAGATATAAGCCTCGCAAAAACGTGACCACGGCCGGCCGGCCGCTCATACTCAGAAATTTCCGTTATTCTACGTAAGACTCCGCTCGCTTCGCTCGCTCCGTAAACAGGGATGGGGATTGGGGAACGTGCCTGTGAGGAATCTCAGCTCGATCGGGCCGGTGGTGAGCTCATGGCGCGTGCTCAAAAAGTGCAAATTCGCGTCATAGACTTTACATGTATAAATCGGCTTGCAAAATTGGGCGAAAATGGCTAAATTTGCCCGACACGGGTTCGGTCCCCGTGCAGTATCTCGGTAACCGTGGGTCCGATCGGCATGGGGAACACAGTATCGTATATGAGGATCGAACGGGTTATCGAATGGTGAGCGGTGCAGGGATGACACGCGCCACGTGCACCCGTGAGGGCACTTATGCTTGAAAAATTGACGTTTGAGACGGATTTTGGACTTAATGCTATTTTCGGGTGACTGTCAGACGGAGCGGGTTCAAACAACGCCTGTTGGCAAGAGAAATGTACCGCCTCTCTAGGAAAATTTGTGAAAAGATAATTGATCAAAAACAATGTGGAACAAATCGCTGGAGAAAATGGTATTTGTTCATGACTTACTTAATTACACGGCTTTTGCTGCATAACCTGATACGTTTGACAATTAAAAATGGCATCGTTGGAAAGAGCATTCAATTTTGTCCAAGATCCAATCATCGCTTTTGCAAGATGAGCAACAGTATTCTTAAAAATATAAATTTTGCAAACCTCTACATGGCAATTCATCTATGGTTCTCATTTTTCAATGACCTACGTCAACCTATGCTATAAAATACACTTGGCAAGTTCTATAGTAGACGTATGGTTATCAGACACGAGCACCTCGATGCGATGGATGTTTTTTCCCAAACCAAAATGCTCAGCCGTCAAAAGACAACCGACCGAAATGTATAAATGACCCACGGACACAAGACCAACCAAACGCCCACCGATCGAAAATATCCCTTATTCGCGTTGCGGAGCAAGCGGGTCACCCTAGCGGGCCCCATCCACCCGGGGGGCCCGGGCCCCATCCACAGGGGGCTGGTCCCCGTCCACACGAGGGCCCGGGCTCCGTCCACCCGGGACTCCGGGCCCCGTCCACCCGGGGCTCCGGGGCCCGTCCATCAGAGGGCCCGGGCCCCGTTCACCCGAGGGCCCGGGCCCCGTCCACCCGAGGACCCGGGCTCCGTCCACCCGGGGCTCCGTGGCCGTCCACCAGGGGCCCGGGTCCCGTTCTCCCGGGGGCCCGGGTCCAATCCACCCGGGGGTCCGGGCCCCGTCCACCCGGGCCCCGACCCTATCCACCCGGGGCCCGGGCCCCGTCCACCCGGGGCTCCGGGGCCCGTCCACCAGGGGCCGGGCCCCGTTCTCCCGGGAGCCCGGGTCCAATCCACCCGGGGCCCGGGCCCCGTCCACCCGGGGCCGGACCCCATCCACTCGGGGCCCGGGCCCCGTTCTCCCGGGGACACGGCCCCATCCACCCGGGGGCCCGGGCCTCATTCACCCGAGGGCCCGGGCCCTATCCCCACGGGGGCCCGGGTCACGTCCACCTGGGCTCCGAGACCGGGCCCCGTTCTCCCGGGGGCCCGGGCCCCATCCACCCGGGGGCCCCGGGCCCCATCCACCCAGGGGGCCCGGACCTATCCAACGGGGGGCCCGGGGCCCATCCACCGGGGCCCGGGCCCTATCCACCCGGGGGCCCGGACCCCATCCAAGGGGGTCCGGGCCCCATCCACCCAGGGGGCCCGGGCCCATTCTCCCGGGGGCCTGGGCTCTCTCTCTCTCTCTCTCTCTCTCTCTCTCTCTCTCTCTCTCTCGAGCGGGCCCCTGACAGAAATTTCGGGGGGGTCAGCTGACCCTCTGACCCCCCCCTGGCTGCGCCACTGTCCTGATCTGCCCTCTAGGCTCTATGTACCCTCTGCCTCTATGTACGTACCTTCCGATCACGCAATTCCTGATCCACGGCAGAATTTAGAGTCCGAAGCTGAACGTACGTGCAAAGCGAAGCCACGCACGGCCGGTCCCCCGCTGACTTTGCCTGGCTACGGCCTGCCACCAACCGCAACCATACCTGTCAGGAGGCCTATACAAACGTCAAGCGCCCGTTGCGCTTCGAACCCGGACTGTTGTAACCGGGAACGCGTGCTCTCACCACGCAGAGTCCAGTAGCGGCGGAACACCTTCAATTTAGGGGGGGGGGGCACTGACGACTTTTGGTTCCATTCTTTCCATGCAACGCCCACAGGGCTACTGTTAAAATGCCAAAATCAAAGGGGGGGCACGGTGCCCCGGTGCCCTCCCCGTTCCGCCGCATATGGCAGAGTCCAACGTTCGGCTTTGTGCCGACTGAGCTACGAGACCAGGACCGGTCGACATCCCTGGTTCACCACCTGATTGTCTCATGTGAGGTTGAGCCGCCCGACATTGGAAAAGTTGCGTCCCTGGATGTCAGTTACCCACTTTAGTGATTTGATTCGAATGTTCAATTTTCTCTGTAAAGCTCCTACGACGTAAGCTGTGGTCTTTTTGTAGCTGTTTTGAGACGAAAAGCTGAAAACGCTACATTTAGGTACCGTAAAGTGGGGCTATTTGAGACAGTGGGGCTATTTGAGACAGTATTTAAAATCGCTATAAAATGAAGATCGTTTGATTTTTGTGTGATATTTTTGCTCAGGGAGGTGTGGAATCGAGCAGTAAATCGCCTGAGCAAAAAATTAAGCATAAGTTTTAAGTGGTTTTTGTTTTATAGCAATTTTAAATACTGTCTCAAATAGCCCCACTGTCTCAAATAGCCCCACCTTACGGTACTCATAATACCATATTATATGGTTTGGTTATAATAGGTATAGTGTGAAATTGCATAAGTTAAAGTAAAAAAAAAAAACATCATCGCAATCATGCCAAAAAATGGAATGATACGATGTCCGATAGTCCACGCTCATCCTTGAACAAACACAATATCCGTTATTCCATGCGTCAGAATACGGGTTTGTTGATGACCGTTGACAACAACATGAACATATCATCCTTCTGATTAATATAGGCATATGTCGCCGGCCGAGGAAACTTTCTCAAACATTCTCCACCCATGCTCGTAGCAATATAAAAGTGATGAAATAGAGAGGATAGCATTCACATTTTCGCTTAGTTTGAGGGCTGTGGACATTTTCCATTGGCTCGACATTACGAGGCCATGACCCAGCTGCACAACTAGGACATGTAATATCTAATTTCTATAAAAAAAAACAACGGTTTTCAATCGTTTTCATTAAAAGCATAAAATTCACTGGAACTTTCTTCGCATTTTATCAAACCATCTGAACAATGCCTAACATAAGGTACATATCCAATATTAGCGAATTTCGAAGAAGATTAGCGAACTTTCGAATAATTGAGTCGCTTCGTATCGCAGTTGTCGGATTGTAATCGGACTTCGGTGGCCTGGCGGCCGCCAGGCTCCCATCCGCGCTCGGTGTTATCACAATGTTTAGCCATGCGTCTGTCGCTACATAGGGGAGAGTGGGGCAAAGTGGCCGCCCGGGGCAAAGCGGCCACCCATCGTTTTAGCCCTTCATAGCTGACGTCAGTTCCAATTTATGGTTTTCAATCATACTTCTCTTCACGGTCGTTCTAATGAGCCAAACCGGGTTTTCAGGCCCATCACCATTGTTCTGTGAAACACGGAAAAGCATTTCTTGCCAGGTTACCAACTACATATGTTTACAATTTTTAAATGCTATGTTATTCCATAACCGTTTAGAATTTTTATAAGCGTTCTTGTCCATGCATTGCATGGTTATCGTACATATATTCTACCAATTTTAAAGTTTTTCACCCCACTAATAGCTAAGCTGGAATATTTTTGTCTCGGACGGTATGCGCGGGGCAAAGTGGCCGGGGCAAAGTGGCCACCCCCCCCCCCCCCAATTGGCCATAAGTTGTTTCCATCTGGATAAAAAACATTATTTATATTCAAATGTGTCGTCAATCGTCATGCATTCATCTTGGCCACCTTTCAGTTGCATGAGTTACCAAATAATGCAATTAAATGTTTTTTTTTCATGAAAATCCTTTCTTTGTTTACCTACGGGTGGAAGATGATAAAGCAAACATCCATCCTCGCTTAACCTTGTCACCATCAAATACCCTAGTCGTACACGAGGTAACTATTTTGTTTCTCATATCGGGACTTGAGAAGACGCCGGTGGCCGCTTTGCCCCAGGGTATGGGGCAAAGTGGCCAATATGCATTGGTTTAAAGTTTTGTCAATATCTTCCACATGTGAACGCCTTTGGAAATAAAACACAGTTGAAATAAAAGGAAACTTAAAAGGGATCACATTGGTATAGAAAGAATCTTTCCAAGTTTAAAAATCAAGCGTTGGCATCGTGAGAAGCGTTAGGGTGGCCGCTTTGCCCCACTCTCCCATACTCAAGTAGCTTCAGTTACTTCGGTGCTTTCAGAGTTCCAACTTTGAATTCCTTCTTATCCAACTTATCATTGATATCTATCCAACGGAATCCGTGTGTCTTGCGTCAGACCCAACTGTGTTTGATGTTCAGTTTTTTTTCTAATGCCCCTGGATTCCTACCCCCCCCCCCCCCGTGACCAAATCCTAGGTATGTATATACGTGCCTGACTCGTCCTCACCGCATGGTTCTCTCTCATCGGCGATTGTGGGTTACATAACAAGCTGTTATCGCTGAAGTATTTACTAGCGTCCTATTTTTTTTTCCGCCAGGCAACAGCCGATATGACATATAAAAGACCAACATCTCCATCGATAGCCATAAGTTCCTTACTGAAGCTCCTGGGCAGACTGCGCTTTCTGTTCATCTGCAGAACAGGTATGTGAGATTTATAGCATTGCGTGGCTGTCGGCTGAACACATCTATAGCACTACTGAAGATGGGCTATAGCACTTCCCCCCCAAAAAAAAATCACGACCTTTTATGGACCGCACAAGACTAGGATGTGAATTGAATGCTACAGTTCGTTTTTTTTCAAAGTTCGACCCTCATTGTTAACATCTCTGTGAATAAAGCATGATAATTGGTAGCTGATTGCTGAGAAAACCGAAGGCGCACATTAATTTAACAGACGATCAAAGTATCAAAATTATTTCTAGGTACTTGCTTCCGGCCTCAGAACTCGTATTTGTCCGTATTTACAACACACAGGGAATAGACGACTTGTCAGGAATAATAACTGAACTAACCAATAAATCGCACGGCGCTGGACTTAACGGCATGTATGTAGGTACATCATCATTGTTACAAATTTGCTTTTTAAACATTATTCTTAGCTCCAAAACAATGTGCGTTAACCAATAATCAGTTTTCTCAATAATTCAGCTAGCAATTCTCGCGTTGCGTTTAAAAAGATTTGCAGTAAGGGTCGAAAAAACGAATCATATAGCCCCGTTTACATAGGGCTCGTTGCCAGATAGTGGAATTCCGATACCGATACATTTATTCCACTAACGAGACATTTCAGGCACATTCCGCTAGTTCAGACGACTTAAGGCCGGATAGGTCGTCAGAACTAGCGGAATTTGCCTGAAATATTCCGTTAGTGGAATAAATGTCTCGGTATCGGAATTCCACTATCTGGCAACAAGCCCTATGCAAACGGGGCTATTGTAAGCCAATTTAATGTACAGATCACAAACGAACAACCGCTATTTAAGACACGATAGTAATCGCGACATCTGACAGTAACACTCCAATGACACGACCGCTCCCCCGGTGTACCGCCAGAGGTAACAAAAGCCGAGATGCTGCGTCTTGTGTCGGTGTTGGTGTGTCTGGGCGCCCTGGAGGCGGCCGTGGTGGCCGTGCCGCACGTGCAGCTGGACGTGCCGCACGTGCCGGCCCCCGTGCAGCCCGTGATCGGCGCCGTTCTGGAGCAGAGGAAGGCCGCCGAGCCAGCCCCCGTCTCCCTGCCGCTCACCAAGGTGGAGGCTGATGTAAGTAGGAGTCTGGCGGCAGATATTCGCCGTTTAACTGCTAAGAATGGTTTTGCCTCAATGTTTTGCCTTTGTCTTTACAATACTTCAACTGTTGTACATCTTCCACAGCTGCATGCTTTCGCTGACTTGTTTCCGTACGGCACCCGTTATATTTGTAGGGCCAGCGGTACTTCCTCGGGGAGATGTCGGTGGGCACGCCCGGCCAGGCCATGACAGTGGCCGTGGACATCACCTTCCCGCTCTCGTACGTTCCCTCCATCAACTGCAGCGACCAGTTCTGCACGGACCACAAGCAATACGACTCGGCCGCCTCCTCCACCTACGAGGTAAGCCACAAGAAAGCGGCACCCTACACGTTCATACGTGCAAACTGGGTCCCAATTGACTTTTGCACGGGACCATTTTCATCCGCGCCTTGACGTGTACCGAATTCGGGCGTAACCTGCCCAGCCGTTCTCGAGATCTGAAAGTGACCCTTGCACGTGCGCACGTGCAGGGTGCCGCTTCCAGATCTCGAGAACGGATGGGCCGATCGCGCTCAAATTTGGCACATCGCTAGGGACCGGTTAGCAGGTTGCAGTGCACAAGTTGGTTGGAGGTGCCTCCTCGCAATTTCGCACGTGTAAGGCCCACCCTCTCGCTCGCTCCGTTGGTCGCCCAAAGACGTTTTACTGGTAATTATCTTAGCTCCACTTCCAATTATCTACATATGCCCAATTTTGTCATGTCCTCAAAGACGACCTTTCTGAAGTCGTTGTGCCTCCCCAGGCGGACGGCACTCCGTTCGAGTTGTCGCTGGGACAGAACGTCAGCGGCGTGATCTCCAAGGACGCCATCAGCGTGGCGGGGGCCACCGTCAGCGGCCAGGCGTTCGGAGAGGCCACGGCCGTCTGGAACAGCTACGCACTGAGGGCGCCCAACGACGGCGTGCTCGCACTGGGCTTCGGCTTCAGCGTCAGCCAGGAGGGCGCGACCACGATCATGGGGTCGATGATCGAGCAGGGTCTGATCGGCCAGTGGCTGGCCGGAATCTGGCTGGGCCGCGGCGACGCCGGAGGTGAGCTGACCCTGGGCGGTCTCAACGACGACCGCCGCAGCGGTGAGCTGGCCTGGGCGCCCGTCACCTTCAACGAGGAGCACCAGAGCTGGATGGCCTCTGTGGAGAGCCTCGCTGTCGGAGAGACCAGCATCTGCTCGGAGAACTGCTTCGTCACCGCGCTGAGCACCACGCCCTACTTCTTCATGTCCATGGATGCGGCCAAGGCGGTCAACGACGCTCTGGGCGGCTTCGACATCGGCGCGCCGGGCGTGGCCGGCCTGGACTGCAGCACCCTGTACACGCTGCCGACTCTGGAGATTGAGGCGGCCGGACGCACCCTGGAGATGAGTCCCCTCGAGTACACCTACATCTACACTTTGGGAGGTGGTGTGCAGATGTGCCTCTCGGGCTTTGTCGGTCTGCCTGACTTTGACGACAATGTGACCGTGCTGGGCTCCCTGTTCATGCAGAAGTTCTACACCGCTTACGACATGGATAACATGCGCGTGGGCTTTGCTGACAGCGCTTAATGCGTTGTTACTCAAATGGTTAAGGCGTGAGAGAGAGGAGATCTTTGGATCTCCTAAGGATTGGTGAAAGAGATGTCTATAGGTAATTGTGTTTTCTCTACTTGTGTCTTTTTAATACACATGTGTCGCTGCAGTTATATAATCTGTTAGTGAGATGTTAAAATCCGATATCTAATTGTATCGTATCGTATCGTATGATTCGGCATTCGGGCAGAACATTGGCCGTGGCGAGATACTTACAGAGTACAGACTACACGAGCTGCGCGCATAACATGCGCTTCATCGCCTTCATCCCTCACGTAAGATAGGGTAGGTGGGGTAATTTGAACATGTGGGGCAATTTGAACATAGTGTGAAAAACAGAAAATTACGGAAAATCCATAAGTGGCATGACAATAAGACCAATGAGGGAAATTATCGTAACTAAAAGGGCTATCATATGAATGGGGTTTAAAGTTTCAGGGAATGAAGATGTTGACGCACACTGTAAAAAATCAATTTCGCAAGTAAAAACGCCTAAAAACACGTCATTGCAACTTCATTGCAGCGCAAAATCATGCATTGCTAGCGCCTAATACGCAACGGCTTTTGTTGTACAATGACCTAATCAGTGCCTTCAATCCAAGAAATTTGCTTTTGAAGCCTGTTTTTAAACATGTCAAAATAACTTTTAGCGTGGGGTAATTTGAACATAGTGTGAGAATTTCAGTGAAGACAGGGATAGCTCCGAAAAACAACGCTCCCAGTTTTTTTTTGCCAATATTTTCGACCCAAATCAGTAGCAGATTAGTGATGCCAGTTTTATAAAAATTTACGTCTAATATCCGTCTAATGTCCGGCATTTTCGTTGATTTCCGTTCAAAAATGTTTAAGTCAGCCATTTGTCCAAATATGTCCGAAAATTACGCATTAATCAACACTCAAAACTGTCATTTAAATTGCTTATAATGTAATTTTACCAGCCAAAAAGTGTTCATTATATTGAGAGCTTAATAAGCTTTCCATTCGCCAATCAATGCTATGCACGATTACTTTATAAAAAGCGCTGAAGTGTAGCAAGCCATCGTCCAATGTTGTCCAGTCTGCTACCTTTGTCCAGCCAATTCCGAATTGGAGATTGGACAAAATCAGAACTCCAAATGTCCAGGTTTCGATTGGCACCACTATAACAGATGCAGTAAGGTTGGGAGAGTTTTTATCGAACAAAAATGATAGACGTTCTGTTAATTGAAGAGAGGCGAATTCTGTCAACTGACCGGTGTGCAGCGTGCAGATATTGATACCTTGCAACTGTTATTTTTGTTGTAGTGTTGATTTTTCAAGTGAAGGTATGTTAAGAATTGTTCTGCCTATTTGTTTATGGGTCAAACAACATCGGTGCTGGCGAGACTATCGTTTTTATGAGTTATGACAGGTAAAGGCAGTATGTTCAAATTACCCCACGGTGGGGCAATTTGAACACACCGTGACTTGGTGGAGAAGTGAGGCTATGCTTTTCAAGGTATGCTCGGCTCGTCCAAAAATGAGGCTTGCATGGTGAGAGCAAGTGACACTTGCGCTACTGAAGCAGTTTTTCTTCGTCCAGGGTTGAGCTGGAATTTGGTACAACGGAGAAGACGTAAAAATATGTTCAAATTACCCCGCACTACCCTAGACTTTTTTCGTCCTTTTGACAGGGCACGCTTGATGCCTCACAGACGCTCGTGGCAATGCAAAGTGACAGAAAAAATGGATAGTATCTGCATATTTCTGCCTGCAGTTTGAGAGCTATGAAAATTTCTCATTGGCTCGATATTATTAAGCCAAGGCCATGAGCTGGCCTCAGGCAAATCACATAGACACAGAATAACTAAACCATGCTAGAAAAACTCAGTGAGCTTAGTTGGCTAGCTTTTTGAACAAGTTTGTAACAATCCCACCGTTTTTGGTACAGTAGAGCGGGGTCAAATGCAATACGGGGCAATTGCAACAGACAAAAGTGTTTATAGGCATAAACTTACCAATAGAATGAGCTGATGTTAAGACCGAAAATGCGTTATTCTATACTGCCTTTCCCATCTCAATGGTCATTAGGTCATGGTCAAGCACAGTTGTGTGCTTTTTAGAGCATTTTGTAATTTTTACACCGTTATATTTGATTAGCTCATTCGCGCAATTGAAAAGATATCGAATTCAGACTGTGTAAGCGTTTGCAGGCTTGTTGTCCATAAATTAAAAGCATTAGATTCTGCCCATGCAACATTTTTTTTTGCGCCAGTTTCGTCTACAAAATGTCACGGCGCGACGGAGACAATTGTAACACTCTTGCAGGGGCAAATGTAACAGGTTATTCAGTTCAGTTCAGTACATTTTGGTAACCAATTAAGAAACATCGGAGAAAATAATCGCAGATCGGCGCAAAAGCAAAATGTTTTAACCCTCGCCCTGGCAGGGCATTTTTCATAACACGGCCTGGCAGGGGGGGGGGGGGGGTCGATGCGACCCCCCCCCCTCGCGATTGGCTCCTATGGCACCTAGAAACACCAAATTTGGTAGGAAGGTGGGCCCCCTGAAGTTCTCGCCCCTGTGCAAATTTGGTTGCCCTAGGTCAATATTTAGGGGGGTTTTGGGGGGTATAAATGTAAAAATTTCGCTAAAAACAGGTCAAAAGTTTTTCGCTTATAATTTTTGATCTAATCAAGATAGAGAAAAAAGAAAAGCACCAGTGAACTCAGCACGTCAAGGGGCGTCGAATGATATACTTTTTAGCTTGCTTAAGTGTACTCAGAGTTTTTCTTAACTTTTAAGTAAACTTAAATTAATAAATTAAGTTCAAGTTAACCAAATTGCATCATATTGTATATCATTCGATTCGGCTGATCACCAGGAACACAATGGTACCATTTTTTAAGCTCTAGCGTCATTATGTGCCAAGTTATTGGCAAAAACGTCATTTGACCTCAGTTGACCTCATTTGACCTGACCCATGGGTAAGTACGCCAAACAAAGAAGCAACAAGTGACCTGCTGTTAAGTACCGTGGTTTCAAAGCACAAAAGTGATAGAACGAAGCGAATATCTCCAGTATTTTCCGAATTTAGTATTTTCCCATAGGCTTAACATTACGACGTAATGACCTCTAACTGACCTCAGGTCAGTGACCTCAAAAAAGCCGGACTATATGTTGTACAACTCGGTGAACTTAGCACATCCTGAAAGTTTGAAGGAAATCAGTCGAAAACTGTGAGTTGGAGAGGTGCAAAAAGAAAATTGAAATTTGACCATGACCTTGTACCGGTTTTTCTGACCTGGTGACCTGACCCAAGGTCACCCGGACCTGAAATTTTCAGGTCATATGTAAAAAGGTTGCCCCATAGGCTGTGCCAAATTTGGCGGCGCTGCGCGCCGCCGTTTTTACGCTATCTTCGAAAAACCTTAGGGGGGGGTCGCATCGACCCCCCCTGCCAGGGCGAGGGTTAATCAAAGCGCCTTTCCTACAAAACAGAAATAAACGCACAAAAATGAAATAGGTAAAAGGTAATTAGGTCAAGGTCATCAACTTTTCAAGGCATTGCTAGAATTAATAGTACTGTAAGTTTTGTCACAAATGGCAGCTTTTTACGCAATTTATTTGCGAAAACCCGAGGGAGATGAGGTCCATCAAACCCCGTATAAAAGCGAGATTAAAGTTTTTTTCTGAAAAGAGCCGTACCTACCATGTCTGAGGAGATGAACATCAACAATGAACATGTATTACACTTAATCAAATCGAAGTTTTTGAAAATAATGCCCTTCTGTAGCCTGTAAGTTACAGTTGTCCCCGGGTGGTGTTACTTTCGAGTTCGACCCATTATCTGGGGTGAATTGTAACAGATGAACTGGCATTTTGGGACCACAATTTTGACCCGAAAAAGATGCTATTTCGGAAATGTTTTAACTGTATTTAAAAGACAAAGCTGAAAGCAGCATAGTTTCTGAGAATAAAAGAAAGAGCTTCATAACTGCAAACGTGTTTGCACCGGATGATATAATGCAAAACCGGTTACAATTGACCCCGGTCTCCCCTACGCCGTGCAAAATTGGGGGCCGTGGCAAGGCGAGGCAATTGCAATGCAGCCTGCTCTCCTGACTGGCTGAGGGAAAAGACGACGGCAATATCTGTACAAAAAAGATAACGTGATCAATCATGTTTTTTTATTAATAAAACTTTTTTACCTCTAACCTTTTACTTAGGGTAACTGTGGGGAAAACGCACCCCTGGGTTAAACGCCTCCCCTAAAAAATCGTATTTCTTATCGACGGATAGGTGTTCAAAGTCAAGTCAAAGTCATTTATTAGAATTCTTCCACGGGGTGGGTATTAAGAATCCGGTCAGGAATGTGACATGGTGACATAGGAGCTAAGTGAGACCCAATTAAAAATACATGATGCTGATACAATGGCAAAAGCTACGTTAAAACACATCGACGATTACATTAAAACACTCGCGAACGCATCATCCGCATGGAAGAAGTTGACATCAGCAGGTTGACATTCTAAAATCAGGTGCCTATGGCGGTGTCCTTCGCATTCCACGATGCTGCCGCTCTATATGCAAACTCCCGCTGAGTTCTTGCGAGCCGCCACTTCGGGAGCTGCAACTTCCCGGCTGCTACCGCGCGAGTGTCACGTGACGACACTTCGGCCCGGCGGGTGAACATGGCCGACATCGCTGGGGGACATTGGTCATTATACAGGGCTCTCTGGACGTGAACATGATCATGGCGGCGCAGCATCACATCCACCCTCTCCCAACCAAGCGACTCCAACGCCGGCGATATATGCTCGGACCGTCGTGTCCCGGTCACAAGTCTGGCGGCGAAGTTCATCGTCTTTTGGACGCGCTGCATTTGACACTTGGCGGCTCCTCCCCAGACGGGCAGGCAATACTGAATGTGTGGGAACACGTGGGCTTGGACTAAGAGTTTAAGGACGTCAGGTGTGAGGTGGTGCCGGATTTTGTGGAGGGATGCGAGGATGGAGTTGCAGCGACGCACAACCATGGTTATGTGGGGATCCCACGTCAGGTGTCGGTCGAGCAGCACACCCAAAATTTTGACGGTCTGACTTGGCCGAATGTCGTTACCGGAGAGTGAGACGTAGAATGACTCAGTCTTTTTTAGAGTTTGCTGGGTTCCGATGAGAGTGATAAAGGTTTTGTTTTGGTTCATTTTTAGACTGTTGGCCTGGAACCACAGCTGGAGATCGAAGATTGACTGCTCGACACGACATCTGAGCTGAGAGAGATCTGGGGTTGTTGGAAGTGAGTGGTCGAGGAGTTGGGTGTCGTCTGCGTAGGAGAGGAGTCGGCCATGGGTGAGGAAACAGGGAAGGTCGTTGATGAGGATGAGGAAGAGGATTGGGCCGAGGATGGACCCCTGGGCCACGCCATGGGTCAACGGGAGGGGATCGGAGGAGCCGCCGGTCACTACCTGTCTCCGATCGTGCAGGTAGCTCCTGAACCACATCGAGCTCACACCATACCACTCCAGTTTGTCCAGGAGGACGCCGTGGTCAACGCTGTCGAACGCCTTGCTGAGGTCAAGCGTCGTCAGCGACGCGACTCGTCCAGCGTCGATCTGCGTTGATATCCAGTGGACAGCGTCGAGCACGGCGTCCTCCGTGGAATGACACGGACGATACGCGTACTGGTGCGGAGACAAAACATTGTTTTTCACAAGATAAGACACGAGTTGGCGAGAAACGACCTTTTCCATGATCTTGGATAGTGCGGATAAAATGGAGATGGGCCTGTAGTTGCTGGGGTCTGAGGTGTCGCCAGATTTGTGGACGGGGATGACGCGGGCGAGTTTCCAAGCGGATGGGAAGACGGAGGAAGAGATGGAGTGATTGATGATGTGAAGAAGATGGGGTCCTATCACAGCAAAACTACGCACAATCGCGAATAGCGGCACGCCGTCCACACCGACGGCGCGCGAGGAGCTCATGGAGCTGATAGCCTCAGACAGCTCCGGCAGGGTGACAGGCCCCAGCACTAAGGCGGAGGCACACACACAGGGCGGGCGAGGCCCCACGTCAGCGCCTCCGGAGCGAGCGACATCAGCCGCGACGCGAGGGCCGACCGACGCGAAATGAGCGTTGAATTCGTCGGCCCGTCGAGTGACGTCATCAGCGCTGCTTGCTGGAGCGGCGCCTGCACGGCGGAGAGCAAAGCTCTTGATCCGGCTCCAGAAACCTCGCCGGTCCGTCAGCAGGTCGTTACAGAGGAACTCCCGCTTAGCACGGGCGAGAAGACCCTTCAGTCTGTTGCGACTGAGCTGGTAGTCTCGCCGCGCCTCCGCTGAACGGCTCCGCCGCCAGGTGTGCCGGGCGGTGTCGCGCTCCTCTATCGCGGTGTCGATGTCAGGATTGTCCCTGAGCCACGGACAGTCCGGGCGGCGTCGGGACACGGTGACAAATGGACACAGTTCGTCGACCGCCGCACTCCAGACACCCATGAACGCCGCCAGCTTCCCGTCCACAGCTGCTGTGCTGTAGAGCCGGTCCCAGTCGGCGGTCAGGAGACGGAGACAGAAGGCGTCCCAGTTCATCCGTCGCCACGGCCTGGTGGTGACTGGAGCTGGGCGCGGGCGGCGCTGGCGGCCGACTGGGGCGCTGAAGATGACAGGCTGGTGGTCTGCAACAGGCTCAGGGAGCACTCTGGCAGATGACTGGAGGTCAGTCTGGTTGGTCAAAATCAGGTCGAGCAGCGTGGGAGTCGGGTGGATGTGAGTCGGCTCCTCCACCAGCTGCATGAGGTTGACGTCGTTTATGATGCGTTTGAAGTCTCGGGTTCCTGGCTTCAAGTCGTCCAGCATGTAGAAATTAAAATCCCCGAGCACGACTAATGGTTTGCCAGTGGCAGTGGCCGCACGGAGCTGCTCCTCTATCAGCTCGAGCCCCCTGGCGGTGGATGAGCCGGGTGGCCGGTAAATGGCACCCACGATCACTGTCCTCCGGCCTGGGCCCGTGACGGAGAGCCACAGGGACTCCACTGCTGGGTCGGCGCCGCCAATGTCCAGCTTGTTCAACCTGAACTGCTCCCTGGTCAGGATAGCCACTCCTCCTCCACGGGGGGCTCTCGAGCGCGGCGGGCCGGTGCGGTCACATCTGCTGATTGTGTAGCCAGGGAAGACGAGCACGCGGCTGGAGATGTCAGGACGGAGCCAGGATTCCGAGACACACAGTATGTCCAGTTTCTGCTGTTCTAGTAGTAGGTTAATCTCGTCGAGTCGGGGAGCGAGTGACCTGGCGTTGATGTGTCCGAAGTTGTAGAATCGGTGCGCTGGCAGCGGAGTGACGCCGGCGGCCGCGGGCCTAAGACGACGAGTCTGTGGCAGGCTCCTTCGAGGCGGAGTTACCAGCACTCTAGTCCTCGACTCCGCGGAAACGGCCCTGGCTTGGCGTGTTTTATCCTGTCTTTCAGAACATTCAGCTGCTTATTTACGTAGGTCTCTATTTCCGGTTCTGCGTCTTGAGGAGCAGCGTGGGTAGGTGCTGATGTTGGTTTTGGGTGTTGTTTTTGTTGTTTTTACAGAAGATTCCTAATATTTTGATGCCTACTTTATATCACAAAACTTGCTATTGAGCACATCACTCAAAACTGCGTTTCATTGTCATTCTGTTGAATGTATTATGCTGCGGCGTTAGTGGCGCGTTTTTAGTCAATATTTTGTTGACCGGAAATGGAGTGGATGGGGAAAGACGCCTACGCGATGCATGGGGCAAGACGCCCCCAGTTTTCTGAAAGGGGGGAGTTTTGCACGGTGGTGAGAGTGCAGGGTAGCGCCCTGTAGGTCGGGGCCGAAAAGGCCTCTCCCTGTCCTTTTTTGCTGATATATCCTAAACGACTGCAGATATCGTCACCAAACTTTCAGGACTCCTTCGGGCATCCATTTTACACATTGCAACAAAATTTTATTCCAAAGGCTATGATAGGTTGACCACAAATGACGTCAGAATGACGTCAAGTTCTGCCATGTTCATCATTTTCTGGATGGATGGCGTGGGGGCGCTTTGCACATGGGTGTGGGCGTATTACCCAGGGTATGGGGCAAAACGCCCTTTTGTAAGGGTATGCGAAAACCTTTTTGGTGGGTTAAATACCACACGCAGGTGTCTTTTCTTGGTCTCAAAGCGTAGTAAAAAGAATGAGCTGCATGATGGTGCCCAAAGGTTTAAGTAATCTGTGTTGGGTTGAGTGTCAGAAGGTTTCGCGCTTAAGGGGGGCGTTTTTGACCTATGTATTCACCCTAAGTCACAGAACCAATTTCTTTTCATTCTATCAATTATATTAGGTATATGAACCAATTCCAATAGACCAATATTACGTATCCAATATAACGAATTAAAAAAAAAAACATTTGTCAACTTTCGAAAAATTTCGTCGCTTCGTATCGGAGATATGATCCGCCTTCTGCAGTGTCACAGCTGTCGCTCTCCTATCTACAACCGGTGCCTACCGTTATAATGTGTTCGCACTTCTGTCGCCTTTCAGAATCCCAGCCCTTCTTCTCATCCAACTTATCACCTGTCCGATGGTTTATGTGAGTCTTGCTGCGAAATTCAACAATGCGTCTGACATTCAGCTGTTCGTTATTCCACGCAATGTCGGATAGAACGCTGGAATTAGCTTCCGACCACACCTTGGCAGACTAACCGCTCGGTCTCAAAGTGATGGTCATAAGAGATGAGCAACATTTGTCAACATTTCTCTTTTCGATGAGACCAGTTTCAGCGGAACGTCTTGCCCCTCTGGCGTCCCCTCTTGGTTCCGCTCAGGCTGATCTCCAGCTTCCTGCCGACTATAATGGTGAGGTTCTCCGGCACGGAAGAGGCCAGCTGAATTTTGGTCAGGCCGCGCGGCTTGTAGCCGTTCTTGCGCGCCTGCGCCATGCCTCCGAAGCCGGGCGGACTCTGCAGGTCGAGTGTGACGGTGTGTGGCGTGGACGGCTGGCGACGCGGCTGTCTCAGCGCCGCCGCTGCCGTCGTTACGGCCGGCTCGGCCGTGTCGCGCTGCACCGACACGGATCGGGCGTGTCGCGCCGCCGGCGGGCCGGCCGTGGGTCGCGGCGTGCCCGCCACCGGTCGACGGTAGGCGGCCGTGGCGGCGGCGGGGCCGGCGGCGGCGGCGGCCACCCCGGCCAGGGAGGAGGCCGTGGCACTGGGCGGCAGGGAGCGGCGCCGCAGCGGGCGCGGCACGGCGCCGATCTGGGGCAGGTGGCACAAGTCCGGGGAGGAGGAGGGCGGCGTCGGCCGCGGCGGGGGTGTCCCGGAGCCGGTGGACAGGTCGGGGGTGGAGGCCGTGTCCTGCACCGCCGGCGTGGCGGCAGGAGCGGCACCGGGAGCCGCACACCGAGCGGGAGCGGGAGCCGGAGCAGGAGCCGCAGCAGGAGCGGGAGACAGAGGCCGGCTCTCGACGGACGCGCAGGGTTGCGGAGGCAGCAGCTGCACCACCGAGCGGTCGGAACTGGCTGATGACTGCGTGGATGTCAGCTCCTGGAAAAGACGCAGGGATCAATAATTTCTACTGGTACAGCATCAACAAAACTGAGCCCGCTGACATTTTAGCAAATTAAATGGGCACCTTTTTTAAAAGTTAAGTCGAAAAATATGCATTGTGGCAGGTCGTTTCAGCTAAACATCATTATCTGCATGTTAAACGTATGTGTTAGATTTGTATGTTCAACTTATGCTTTTACCAGTTAAATCAAATATCAAAAATTTACAACAGTTTCACTTCAAACAGTTCTGACAGGTATCCGGCAATCTTTTCAATAACGCGTTATACGGTGTGTCGATTGTCGCGTTGTAGCTGAAAAAGCAACGAACACCCTGCGGTCGCGACATCTATTCCGAACGCACCCGACGAGGGTGGCGCTAGCATCGCGGAGCAGTACCGTAGCCAGCAGCGAGGCCGAGGGGTTGGCGGCGCGGCAGCGGGCGTGCGTGACCTGGGTCAGGTAGTCGCGCTCGTACTCTGCCGGGTCCGTGTGGTGACGGAAGGTCAGCTGGTACTCGCCGGCCGCCGGCCGCCGCCGCAGCCTGCGGGCGCCACGCCACGTCATAACGTCACAAGGCACACGACCGATAGCAGCGTCATTCAGGGTGGCTTCAGCGGCGGGCACCGGGTAATGCCGTCATTAAATGTGCTGTCGTCGAAATGTTGATGTATGGACAACCGCCTGATCAGTGAAACATGGACAACTGGTGTAATAGTGCCTCATCCATGATATCAGTAAATCAATTACTTTACCTATTACTCTGCACAATGCAGTTTAATAGCATAAGTAGAGTGATGTTCCGGAATAGACTGGAGAGTGATCGGTGCAATTAATTGTAATGTCACAAGATACCTATTCAGTCAGCTGACATTACTCAAAACGGGTTTTCTGAAGATAATGAACTGGCATAGGTTTTGAGAAGGGTTTCGTGATTCGTCAATTTCTTATCATGGTGAAAATTTAGTGCTTATTGCTATCGTATTTCACCGTTTCAGCCATGAATAGGAACCTATAAAAAAATTGTCCTACAACGTGGTTTCTGTTTGGTGATGGTCGTTGTTATCCTCATGCCGTTATTACGGAGCGAGCGAAGCGAGCGTAGTCTTTCCTTAGATTAACGGAAATTTCTGAGTATGACCGGCCGGCCGGCCGGCCGGCCGTGGTCACGCTTTTGCGAGGCTTATATCTCAGCAACCACTTGACCGATTTACACGCGGTAATTTTTGTAGGGTAGCTTCATTCCTTCTACCAAGTATTGGACTATTCCTGATGCATGTGGGTGACCCCTTATGCACGTGCCACGTGCAAAACGAAGAGGTGTCCGTTTTGTAATTGTTGCAATATCTCGGTAACTACTTGGCCGATTGCGCTGAAAGTTGGCATGTAGGACTAGGCACCCACTAGGCACTGCATATCCATGTGCCAGAGTTGGGGCGCTGCTGCACGTGCGCACGTGCAGGGGTCGTTTCCAGATCTCGAGAACGGCTCGACCGATTGCGCTCAAATTTGGTACACAGTTAGGGACCGGTTAGCAGGGTGCCGTGCACAAGTCAGTTGGGACCCATTTTGCACGTGCGCACGTGCAGGGTGCCACTTCCAGATCTCGAGAACGGCTGGGCCGATTGTGCTTAAATTTGGCACATCGCTAGAGACCGGTTAGTAAGGTGCCGTGCACAAGTCAGTTGGGGGTACCCCCTCGAAATTTCGCACGTGCACGTATAACGCCCCAAAAGGCGTTATACTGGTTATTCTTGTTTTTTTTTTGGACTTAATGTGTACCGATGTCAGATCTGATTTCAGTTGAATTAACATTAGTTGATTCGGGGAAGAAATTACAATTAGGCAATATAATTAAGCTCATTTTACGCTCGCAGTTTCGACTAAGTTTGTCCACTTCCATATTCATAAAAAGCATGGGTCAAAAGCGTGTACTCACTTTTTGGTTTTTAGTTTGTCCTTATCCGGCGAGATGGACGAGGTGGACGGCGCACTGTCCGGCTTCCTCAGCCACGAGCGGTACTGGTGGAAGTCACAGGAGCGCCACGGACCACACTCGGGGCTCATGGTCGAGGCTAGATGGCACGGGTGGTCTTCAGGATGCTGATCTAGTTGCACGAAACATTAGTAACCGGTGCGGCGCTGTGACCGTTGTGCTGTTCAGTATTCGTTCTGCGAGTATTTTCTTGACACACCACAAAATGAATTTTGCTACCGTGTCGCACAAAAGAAGTCTACTTAATGCTCTCTGAAGTACGAAGTCGTCTTTGATATGGTAAGTAGGTGACGGTATTGACTGTGTTTTCCTGTGAACTTTGAACTTGGTGTTTCCTTTTTTAATAAGGCCTAACAGAACATTAATGCAGCACTCATACTTTTTATGTTTTCTGAAAAGACGCAAAATAATGCCACAAACAAGCACATTCAGTGCGTCTAATGCGCACTCCGTTCGTGTTCTTGTCCCCTTGCATCTGTTTTGGCAAGGGTACTTGATTTTTGGGCTTCGGTTGAATACGAAACGTGATATTTGGCAACGGCACCGCACTGTAATGAGAAAACCACGTTCTAGGTCACATAATGATGCAAACTTTTAAGTTAAAGGTAAGTTTAAAATGATAAGTGTCGCGCCGTTTACGCAGTGAAAATGCTCTTTATATTGCAGTCGGTTTGTAGGTATTCATGCCGTTTAGGTTGGACATGCCGGCAAAATGCAAAGTAGGTACCTACAAAATAAATGACGAATGTTAGATGTTCTTGCTTTTTTAAGCAATTTATTGGCAATTAGCTCCACTTTTCGCCGCCGTGTCTTGCACCTCATGAGCCCTGTGCTGAGGTATATGGCGGCTATCGACGCTTGTGCATGTAGTTCATACCGTGAATACCCATACTCAATAGCTAAGCTGATAGATTGGTCATTGTATGCGTATAAATGTATAAGCAGACTTCCTACGCAATACATTTACAAGACCAATGTTTTACGATACACTTCACACTCGTACCAATATTTAGAACTTCCAGCGGTCACGACTACTTCACTGTAAATCACCAAGTACAACAAATAAAACGATGCTTGAAATTATGATCAACGTTGAACAGTATACGGACGATGAATACTCCTCAACCCTAATGTGCAAAACATGGATGGAAACCATCTCGGCTAGGCCGAACACATCAGCCTCGTACTCGTAAATCCATAAAGCACCTCTGCGATAAAAGGGAGAAGAACTGAACGATGCGTTTCACGCTGTAGCAAATGTTTGACCTTAGGGGTACCTGTCCTATTGTTAAAAATTATGAATCTTTTTATCGAAGTCATTTATGAGAATATTTCGTAGGTACGAGGTCAAACTTCACAATACAAGTACCGAACACATAATGGAACACATAGTTCGTGCCTTTTCGTACCAATTTTATAGTCACTCGTCAGTTTTAATTACCTTGACTGACCCCAGCTTGGTATAACTACGCTAACGGAGCGAAATTTGCTATGTACATCGTATACATCTTTATGAGACAGTTTTGCTTTGTGCTTCGTTTGTGATCTCTACATCTGTATGACCTCCGTGTACAGTTCCGATCAGGAATGAGGAAGAGCACCAAATGCACAGAACATTAAACGTCATGACTATACTGGTTGAATGTGTGAACATTGCGCTGCAATGCATGGGTGTTGCCAAATGAGACGTTCCTATTAGACAATGATGGTTACATATTTCTAGCAACAAAGTTGAGCGTACCTCGCTAGCAAGGCGATGTGGCATGCCAAAGATGTTATAATATATGCATAAATCATGGATGCTGCGGCTCACGGCTGCGTTGAATGAAACTGAACCCTGGGCATGTGCGAATTATTGCAACATGCCCATATCTCGAACTCACGACTTTTTTTGTACATGGCCTCCTTCAACCTTCCACTATATAATAAGGTTATAAGCATTAAAGGGACCCTCCCACCTTCCAAAAAAGTTAATGAATTGGCATGAGAGTGATGTCGCTTGGTTCAGAAAGAGCAAAAACGAATATCTACCAAATTTCATCGAAAAATATTCACCGGTTTTCAAGATATTAGACTTTAACTTTTGTTTACTTTTTGGGATCTCCGCTGTTCCTAGCGACTTGATTTGAAAGTGCGGCATTTGTTGCGCGCAAAGCATGGCATATACCACCGCGTGCTACAAAACGTTTTAGTCAAACATTTAA